TCTTTTATATCATGATTTTGACATCTGCAGTTGAAGCAAGCTCAATGCTCATAATATCAAGATTTTCATTCAGAGAATCTCTTTTTCAGAGAATTCAGTGCTTTAGTAATAGTATTCAGATCTAGATTCATCACATCTGAGTATATAACTTGTATTATAGAAGTCTGATTATCTATTCTCTGCTGAAGTATACTCAATTGCAGTATTTTCTATTACAATTGACTCATTTATTTCTGTATAATAAGAATATTATATGCTTTCTTCACTGTGTCTGACTATGAGATTAAGCATTTTCATTTCACTCTCAACTTAAGTGTAAGATTATGAATGAAGATCTGTAAATAGAAAGATGTTAAAAGCTCTTCATTTAATACAAGATAGTGTAAGCTGAAGTGTATGAAGTATGATATAAGATCACTCACTTATCTACACTCAGTGAAGTATTTATAACATTTATCTTATATATTCACTTTCTCAAAGTTGTGCAAGATTCATTTGAAAAACTTATTTCATATTTATAAAAATAAATATTACTCTAAGTCTGTGAGATTTATCTTTTCATCTATCATTTATAATAACTTCACTTTTCTGTGTAGAAATATAGCAGATCTTAAGACTTGTTAAAATTCTGTTAACTATCTGTCTGTAAGTTCATATTTAATCTGATAATATAATTGTATCTGACTTAGCCAGCTGATTACAGCATCATTTTTTCAGTCACTATTAAAGCTTAGTAACTTCAGCAGATCTTCTGACTTAATGTATCTTATACTCAGATTCTCATTCTGTGCAGCAGTCTTCAATGATGTGTACACTTCTGAAGAGATTGTGAATAATTGTGATGAGATCTCTAGATTCAGTGTAGTCATCTATCTGTATAAACATTTGATCTTCTGCTGCAGGCTTAAGATCTGGTTTTCTCTATTCTTATTAATGATGATGATTGCATCAGTGAAGCTCTTCATAGTGAATGCTTAATCTGCAGTAAATGTCAATTATTGTTTGACTTTCATCTCAGTCTGTCACTGTATATACAAGACCTCAATCTCATTTAGAATTCTTATACATGTATAAAGCTTCAATTTCAGTTCAGCAGTTTCAGCTACTTTTCTTACTGCTTTAAGTAAACTCTCTGAGAGGTTCTGCATATCTTTCAGTTCAGATAGCAGAGAAGAATGTTGTTTATATTAGCTAGAGAAGATATTCATTTCAGTGATTTCTTGTTAATTATATGATATCTATTATTATATCACTGTATCATTCTATCACTATATCATTATATGATTTCTGTTATTATTGTATAACTTCAGTGATGATCACTCTCTCTTTTATCTCTTTAAATAAAGAGCAGTCTTCTTTGAATCTGATTCACTGCTCTCATCTCTTTTCTCACATCTCATCTGTTCATATCTCATATGTGGCATTCATCTGAGCATGAAGTTTTCCCTCAACAAGTGAAGCAGCATTAAGTGAATGCTCTTTCACTCATCACTCTTCATACACTATCTTTTGAGATGTTCTAGGACCACACTGGCATGATAACTATGAATTGCTTTGTAGATGGAATTATCACACTCTGGAGAAGTCTGTACTTCTCACCGGTTTTTAGACATGCTATCAGATGTGATTCAAAGGTTGCTTAAGCCAGTGTACAATTACAGGCGTACACCGGCTTCTTATATATTGAATCTCGTACACTAAATTAATTAGTGGCCGCTAGGGCCCCCTTTACATTCGTACGCTAGTAGTTCGGAAGCGGCCGCGTTATTATCCGACGGTCGTATGTTCTTCCGAACTACATTATCAGAGCTGATATAATATCTTTCTATAAAATAATACTTACAGAGAGATAGAAGTTGTTGTTACAGATATAATAGAAATAATAAGAGTGAGAGAAGAAGTAGATGTATAAAATTCTCTTCTTCTTCAGCTGCTTAATACAGTATAGATAAGTAGTAGTACTAGTCAGAGACTGCACTGAAGCCTTCTTACAGAGAGAAGATGAAGAAACTGCAGAATTTTACAGACTCAACTCAGCAGTATTCTGAGCAGAACTCAGATATACTATGAGAGAGAAACTATAAATTAAGCTTCTCAGAGTCACTGTTTCTGAAATTAAGCTCTTTCTGAGTTTCTCTCTGAATGATCACACAGAGTTATACATTATTATATTGACTGAGAGAGAAAGTGACATTGCAACAGTGATAAGAGAGGCAGAGAATAGACTGAATGTAGACACACTAACTAGCAGAAGAGATGACACCTCACTGCAAGACATAGCAACTACTGTCATAGCTGTAAGAGAAGCAGAAGAAGATGTGACAATAAAAGTAGTACTCTCACAGCTCATTAACACTACTGCCTTCAATCTGGCTTTCTTAGTGATCATCAAGACTGCAGCTGCATCATGAAGATGTTTACTCACTAGAAAACATCAGAATAAGCTTCTTATTATCTTCTAAGAATAATGCTCTCATGCACTCACTATCACAGATGAGAGAAGAGAAAGAAAAATGTATTATAGAGAAGAAAGATCTTTTTAAAAAATTCTGTTACTACTGTTAGCTTTGTCTCTAAAATATATCACTTTTACAGAGAATTTTATATATAAAATGAAATATAATGAAAGATCTGTAAGTTACTTATTAACTATATTTTTCACATTTTAAATTAATATATAAGAAACTCACTTATCACATGTTTGATTTGAATGAAGATAAGAAAAGAAAGATTTATACAGTCAGTAGAAAAACTTATCTATTTCTTTATATCATATGCAGTACATGTACTGTTAATCAGTTGATAACTATTACTATATAATAAAGATAACTTCTAATTCAGTAATCTTGAGAGTATAGAGACTATACTCTTAAAGAGAAGAGTATTGTTATACTCTCAGTTATATTAAGATCTTACTACAGTTTCACACAGCTCATTGCTTTCATATGAATAATTTTATTTCATTTAAACTGGTTTTTAATCACTTTATAATATTATTCAGATATATCATAGAAAGATCTGATTAATAAATAAGAGAACTCTGCTTCTATATAAGATCAGTAGATTACTCTTTCTTAGTAATAAGATGCTGCTGAGATATTACTCTGACTATTCTCACTTATGAAATGAGAGAAGAGTATTCACTTATTATCTATATAGAATAACTAGATACTGGCTTCTTATTAAAGAAGTCAGTAATTCATTTCTTTTCTTCTACTGAAATATATATAGAAGTTACTGTATATCTTATACAATCTTCTTAGTATACTAAGTATTATATCTGTGATATTCTTGTAATAACTCTGTAGTCTACAAGCTCACTATTCAAGTAAGATACTCAAGCTCATTTATACAGCTTCTTAAACAACTACCTCTACATGACACTGCTGACTAGACTGACCGTGTGACCGTGTCTGAAACCAGGACTAGATTTTTTGATAGTCTCATTACCAATTCAACTGATCTTATTACACAGTTTTAACATTAGATAGTAGTCTCATACTGTCTCAGTGAGACTTACTGTCTACTCTTATCACATTTTCTAAATAAGATCATGATTTCTACTTCTCAATTTAAATTATTTTTATTACTTTAAATGACTTTAAATCTCATTTGAGCATTATTAAAAAGTGTTACTTTTTAAAAAATTAAAAATAGTCTAAAAAAAACCTTAAAATGTCTAAAAATAGTAACTTTATGTCAAGAATGAGACTAAATGAGATCAAATGAAATCACTTTCTCATTTTTTTCAAGTCATGGTTTCATTTTAAGATCTGATATATAGTCACTTTATGTGTTTTTTTGATAGCCAGTCCCAGCGGGATTCACGCCAAGAAATGTATAGGACCAGACCAAATGGGACTAAATGTGAAATTCATGATCCCGGCGGCCAGTCTACTGCTGACTAGCCACCGCTTTGATTCCGTCATGTTACAATAACACAGAAAGAATTTACTCAGTACTCTGAGTATAAAAGAGAATTTCAACTCAACTTTATAAATTCATTATTTCTATATTATCTTGAAATCTTAGAATAATAATGTTCTTATAATGTATCTGATTTTTATATTCATATCTTAAGTTCTTAGAATAGAAGTATTATCTCAAAGTTAACTAGTGTATTTTTAAATACAGGAATTTTAATTCAATTTCTCATATAAAAAAAAGCTCTTAGAAATTCTAAGATTAAAAAATATGATTATTTTCAAGAGTATACATCTATCTTAAATATAGATTTTTTTAAAATATTAAAGAAATATTTCTATTCTTCTTCTCTTTAGTTATAAACTAAGATGATTTTCAAATCTCAAAGATATGTGAATATATAGTAATAGAAAATCAAAGTTAAAGAATCTAAAAAATTCTTATAAATCTCAGAAATCTTCATTGAAGATGAAATCATTTCTTCTCAGATTCTCTGATGAGGATTGCTCTGAGCACATGACTTGTATCAAAAGTAGGTTAGTGTCATGCCGGATTAGTTAATAATAATGCTGCAACCCATTCAAACCGAGTCAGAGGTCTGAGATAAAATCAGTTGGAAGTCTTCATTTCAGTCACGTGCAGATTAGGACTGACACTTTTGCCGTAATCGATATAAATATAAAAGGTAGATAAATGTGTACAATACCTATTCTATTCATTTTGATGAAAATGAGAAATTGTATGAGCAAACACTGAACATGGTATCATTGTCAAAGTATGGAGTAGATATGTAGGAGTTCCTGGAGCTTGTTCTGTGATAATAGTTACATCTACAACCACAGTTTTCTGGGGGGATTTGAGGACTGCAGATTTGAAATCATACCTCAGTAATCAACATCTAAAAGAATTATTCTGTAGAATGTAAACTCTTATTAATTTGCGTATTATTAGCCGGTGTTAGAGTGCAGCCTCTTGAATAATATCCATGAAGATCCGATCAGCTCTGTGCAGAGTCTAGCAGACCTCGGCATCGATCCAGCGCCAAGACGCCTCATGCTGCCGTCAGCTCACATCGACTTCGCTTCACAGAAATATTATCCATAGACTCTCCAGTATCATTGTTTCATTCATAGTTTATGTGAATTCTTATTTACTAACGTAGGCCAATCTCTACCAACATGCTTAACTGGGTGTACGTATTTTTTTTAATATTATTTAACTCCGGGAACATGAATCTCACCAAGTCGATCCAGCTCACGCCCCTCGCTCAGATGGAAGATCCACGAGCATTATCAGCGAACCCTTTTCACAAACGGAGAGGCGCTGCCATCGCGGGCAGAATTCGATTTCTTCATCCATGTATCTACCCGGACCTAACTGAAAATTTTGGCTTGTGTCCGAATTTCTGTACCCGTGGAGTTGATGTCCGATCCGCTGAGCCACCTTTTCTAATGTTGTGGTGCAGTTCAAAGGCTTAAAGAAGCTTATGTCTTGCATTGAAGCCCTTGGGCTCTTAAGAGTGGCTTCCAATTGTGCCCAATTGTGCCACTTACCACTGCTCTGTTCCATGATGTGTGTTTTTGTGTGTGCGTGTGTCTGGGTGATTCTATCCTACTTCGTGAGAGTGGAATGGAAGGGCTCTGCACATGTCTATCCAAGTCTATATCCGGTAATAAACTCCCAATTGACCAGCTAACCTTTATTAGACCTTATTAAAGCATATACTACCTAGGCTCTTCCAGAAAACAATGACAATCTGAGAAATAAGGTACGACGGTAGAAATCAAATCAGGAGAAGATCCAAAATGTAAATTCCAACTACTAACCTTAATATAGTGAAACAGAATCCTTGTTCGGTGGCAACGCGGCTAAGCTGTAGGAGTTCCGCTCCGTGAGGCCGGCAGAGCATGTATGGAATGCTCGGGACATACTCCGCATGACCTCGAATCCGTGGGTGATGACCCCGCACAAGCCTCAATATCACGATATGCGAGGTTCATAGATACAGATATAGATACATGTACCATAGATACATGTTCATGTATATATATATCTCTCGTATCTATGGTACATGTATCTATATCTATCTCTCTACACCGGTCGAGATAGCACATTAGTTGCACAGCTGTTAACTCCCGCAACGCACAAAGATAAGAATTAAGAGTTGAAAAAGCATTGAAAAAAAGGCCTTCAACATCAGAATCTCATTCCTCCTGTTTCACTAGGCGCTGGGCTTCCACTTTGCAGCTGTTGCTAGTGGTGCTGGATAGAAGTGTGCAGGTGAGTTGATGTTATCTCCCTCTCCTCCTCATTTCCCCTGCCAATTCTTGCCTACCTGGAAAGTTTTGTTCATTCCTTCCAAGTAAACATGTTTTCCGCTTCTTCGAAAGAACTTTTAAAAGCTATGATCTGATATAGAGTAAAAAGGTTGGCAACGATAACAATCCTGATTCCAACCCCCCGGGTCCCGGAGCCTGCGGGGGTGTCCAGTGATCCTCATGGCTCCCATCATATCGGACCGGACCTTGCACTGCGTTCCTGTGGCCAACAAGGCGAAGATAAGCACCATTTGGAGGATCTAGGGATGAGCTAGAGTGGTGGGAATGGCTGGGTAAGTCATTCATTTGTAGGAATCCATTGAAACTCCTGCCAGAAGGATGTAAAAAAGCATTACTTGCCTCAAAAATGACGAATACAGGTTCCTTGGATGTACATTTTACATCTGACTCGAAAAAACTCTTGGCCGTTGTGTCTGAGGGCGATGTTGATCTATTATTCGAGTCATTTGTTGTAAGGTTATTTATTCTCTAAATCAGCTAGCTCATTTCATATATGTTCATATGAGCAGGAACTCAGTGCAAATGAATATTCTCTCTACTTTTTAATTGAATCTTCTTTATAGAATTCAATATCAGCTCAAGATTCATTCGATTTCTTTTGTTTATTTTTTTTCTTTTCTACTTGTATACTTTTGTTTGTTCTTGAGTTGAAAACAACGATAACTCCAGCAAAGATCGTGCAGGTAGAAAGGAAGTAGATAGTTTATCATATGAGTATCATTGAACATTCATGACGCTGGAAATCCTGATTCTAAAGGAGAGATATATATATAGAACTATATATATATATACAGAACATATCACTTGCTGACAGACAAAGAGTTCTATCATATTGATCAACATCTTCACGTGAAATTATAATCAATCCATCATTAATCACCACGCATATTTCCAGCCATTGTTCAAAATATTATTCTGATCCCAGGCACAGTATGTATGTATTGTATGTATGTACGGAGTATGTACTCCGTAGTTGGTGCCTTGCTTCTTGTTGAGCCACGACGCAATCACGTGCTCTAGCCACATCCCAACCAACTCCTGCACTAGTCCATAGTGGGACTAGCTGAGTATCCAACCGGCCGAGTTAAGTTTAGCGTGCGGTCCCCTAAAGGGCCTACCTTACGTAATCCACCTGGATTTCCGCATCCGGCAATTACCTTCTGGCGCCTGCTCTGTGTTCCGCGTCGTTTTCTTTCTGCTTGAGCTTTTTATTGCCTCGATTTGCTTGATATTTGATATATCCAAAGAAGAAGAATAATAATAACAATAACAGGCGGAAATACACGTGGTAGGTGGCTGTGTTGTCTTGTAGCTGTTATAAGTTATTGTTGTTGTTTCTCGGCTTCAGGTGGTGGCTGCGGCTAAATAACCGTCGGACCTCGCCAGATTTTTTTCCCCTGAATATCCCGAAATAATCCGACTCAACAACATACGTGCAAAGGAAACTCGATAGCTCAATACAAAACAACTGCACCTCGTCCTCCATATCCGTCTCGATCAACTCCCTGATCTAGAATCCGTTAGAGACTAAGAAACAAGGAAACTAAGACTGTATGTATTGCGCGCGACCAACTTCTACCCGGAGCCACATACCTCCATTGCTCATTGCTCTACCTCTTGATTCCACCTTCGCGAAATCCACAAGACTCAGGAGAAGCTAACAAGACAGTCCCTTTCCCTCTCGCCTTTTCACTTCCCCTCCGACGAAGACGTCCCCTATTCCCTTGGTCAGGGCCCCTTTCAGCGACCCCAGTGTCCTCAATTGAGCTCCCTCCAGCCATGTCTGTTACTCAAATCTCTCCCGCGGCGGGTGCGCCGAAACCCCTCGAGAAAAAGCCTATCAAGTTTAGCAATCTACTACGTGAGTTGTGTCTATCCTTGAGCTTGTTAACCCTAAGTGGAGGATGCAAGTTCAGTGAAAAGTGATGATATTGCGGCTTGCTGACCCAGCATGGTTTGTCCGTAGTTGGGGCTGGTTTGAATATGTTTGAGTAAGTATTTGCGTTCTTTTTTCTTTTCTTGGGTGAAGCATGGACTGTTTTTGCTGATTAATTCTTTAGGGTCACGACGCTGGGACAGGTAAAATTTCCCCACCTCCGTAATACGTCTTGCAAATTTTAGTCTAATATACTGTAGCCGCTGGAAGTGATCAAGACGACTATGGCCGCCAACAGGCGCGACAGCTTCGCCGGCGCCATGCGTCGGATTTGGGGTCGTGGCGGTGTACTTGGCTGTTAGTTTCCTCTAAAAACCCACTATCCGTCTTCACCCTCTTAATCATCTCACCAACATCTCCTAATTTCGCATATGAATATATATAGACTACCAAGGTCTCATTCCGTGGGCCTGGATTGAGGCGTCCACCAAAGGCGCAGTCCTTCTCTTTGTCGCATCCGAAGCCGAATTCTATGCCAAATCTTTCGGAGCCAGTGACTTCGTCGGCGGCATCAGCGGCGGCATGGCTGGCGGTATCGCGCAGGCTTACGCTACCATGGGCTTCTGCACGTGCATGAAGACGGTCGAGATCACCAAGCACAAATTGGCAGCGACGGGCGTGAAGCCTCCCGGCACCTTTGCGACCTTCATGGATATTTACCGCAAGGAGGGGATAAGGGGAATTAACAAGGGGGTGAATGCGGTGGCGATTCGACAGACCACGAATTGGGGGTCGCGATTCGGGTTGTCGAGATTGGCGGAGACGGCGATCCGCAAGATCACTGGGAAAGAGGAGGGTGACAAGCTCAGTGGGTTTGAGAAGGTCATTGCGTCCGGGCTTGGTGGTGGGTTGTCGGCATGGAATCAGCCGATCGAGGTTATTCGAGTTGAGATGCAGAGTAAGACGGTTGATCCCAATCGTCCGAAGAATTTGACTGTTGGTAAGACATTGAGGTATATCTATGATTCCAATGGGTTGAAGGGATTGTATCGTGGCGTTACACCCCGGATTGGGTTGGGCATTTGGCAGACTATTTGCATGGTTGCTTTGGGTGATATGTACGTTTCCCCCACCCTCTTGTAGTTTTTATACCCATCCTTGCTTGAGTGTTTTATCATTGATGCTAACAACATCCTTCTGAACAGGGCCAAGGAGACCGTCGAGAAGCTAACAGGTGACAAGGTGACCGCCAAACACTAGAGAGCTGGCGGATATATGAATGGCGGCTGGCAATTATCATAAATTCTCATCTTACCTTGGGAGACAAACTCACTTTTATTTCAGTCGATGCATCTGTAGTTTCGCGGTATCTTGAGCCATTGATAATTGTATAATCGACTTGTTCTCGTGTTGACTATTTTCCGTTGCAGCGATTACCCCCCCCCGCCGTTTCTATATTCGCTTATTTTTGTGCTCTGTCTGGAATTACATGAGTATACTTGTTTTTGTTTTATTCCTGGTGTCTTTTAGAGCCTTTACAGGTTACATATACGATGTAATCCAATTATAGATAACCATTTATCATTTTATATTTACTTTTTGGTTTTAAATTTATTTTTTAAATTACTTTATCATATATATTTTCACCGTTTGTTCTCATTTGTCTTCCAACAAGTTGATGGTGTACAAAGTACAGAGTACGCCTGTGTGCTTTGTTCCCCGCGTACCTGCGATCGAGCTAACAATGCCGCGCTTGCTGCGGTTGTGGCGTCTAATGTCCTACCCACATTATTCTATAACTCCTCTCTAGTAGCAGGGTCTCGCCACAAGTTTTCTCACTACTAACTCACAAGTCAGTTTGGCAGTATGCTAGTTCAATCGGTTTCCTAAAAAGGGTTTCAAACTTGTGGTAAAGCAGGCCACATCCAACTCCAGATACAATGCCCGGACCGCTGTCATACGGTGCTGGAAGCTTGGGGCGCAGCGAAATTTTGAACCAATTCATGCGCACACGGTAGGGCCCTGGTGAAAAGGAAAGGGAGATGGCATATTTGTTTGGCCCTTCTGCACAGAGAATGTTCAGGTTATATATCCGTGCCACGAGTACTGCCCGCTAGGGAGCTTATTTACAATCTCTGCCCGTCTGAAGCGGTCCACATATATATATATATATTTATCTATTACCCACTACCTCGTTGCTCCTGCGAATGATATGAGCAGGTGGGATCGGGTTTCGTGACTGGAACGAGTAAATCCTTTAGCCCTACCCCAATCAACCGTTCTGTCATGGTCTTGAATGCATATCGGTAAAAATTTCCAAGCCATACATGAGGGCTGGTGAAAAGAGCCAGGAATAGCAATTAGGTTGAGGGGCCAAAATGTCCCGACTTCGGCCATCGAGTCAGGATGAGGTGGGAGCTGTGCTCAGCTGCGCCCTGAAATACAACTTCTCCGGTTATTTGGGTCTGTTAGGACAGGCCATTAGAGCCGGTGGTGAAATGGCCTGGGGCGAGGATGCGAGGTGGATAAACACGAGTTTCATATCCGTTCTTCCCCCCTATTGACTTCAACGGTTGAAGGCAGTCTGCGTCTACGAAGATCAGATTCCTAGAATGGAATACTAGTTCTATCTAGATGCCCGCGGCAAAACTTCTCCACGGCGAGGCCCCAGCAGGATGCAGCCGTCATTATACTTGGACCTTCCTTCATCCAAACCTCGAAGCCGCCATTTCGATACAAGCTGACTTCCAGTACGCAGCGAGTGGCGTTGGGTTTCTTTTCTTCCTTCCTTCCTTTTTTTCTTTTTCCTTCTTTAACGTCTGTTTCAAGCCGGGTGTGATTTGTCGAATCAGCTGAATGACCGCGCTCAACCTCGTCAGGCAAACACCAAAAAAATTCGAGACAACTTCGCACCACGAAAGCATCCAACATGAGAGCGCGAATCACAAAGAGTCAAACTTGTTACATTTCAATGTCATTTTTACTGATGGCTCAGACCGTCTGCAGGATTTGTTCTATGCGACTCAATTGTCTTCTGGCAATATCCCGTTGACTTCTACTAGCGGTCGTTGCGCATCATTGGTGAGTGAGGGGTTTGAGAATTCGGACCGTTTTATTCACGGCATAGCCCACCAGAGGCGGTATTATGTTGACTCTGACCACGTCGATTTCTACCAATACATCTCATAGGAATTAAAGGTGAAAACCGTCGTTCTTCAACTTTTAGCCAGAACTCATAGAAACCTACCATATGCACAATGAGCTTCGGCTACTCCGTGACTGACCTTGTATCACTCACAACCCTCTCCTGGAAGCTCTACAAATCCTGCAAATCTGCACCTAACAGCTTTGCAAGCCTTTCTTCTGAAGTTCTTTCGCTTCATGCCGTGCTGAGAGAGGCAGAGGAGGCTCTTTTCCCTGGCGGCCAAGGCCATGATGACTGTAGGGCTGGAAAATCCGCATGTAAAGCACCTGCCGCTCTACCACCCTCTGCGCAGGAGAATTTACGTGTCATTGCGGATGGGTGCAATGGTGTGTTGGTGGATTTGCAGTCGTTGATTGACAGATATGAGAGCCTGGGGAGGAAGAAATATAACGCTTGGAGGAGAGTGAAGTGGGGTGCGGAAGATATCGCGGAATTGAGGTCACGATTGGCTTCTAATGTTTCTATGTTGAATACCTTTGTAAGGTGGAGTGAAGTTCTATTGCTAGGCTATATTTTATTTTGATTTTTGATGTACTAAGTTCTTCGTCAGCATATCCCAATTCACTGTTCAGCAAAAGCTCGATCGTTATACGTCCATGCATAAAATGGGCAATCGCGAAAGTTCGCTCATTTCCGAGCAGACAGCCGATTCGCTTTCTTCCCATGATAAGCTTACCTGGCGTACCATTCGCAAGGAGCTGGAGGAGATAGGAATTACCGTGGCCGCCTTCGATGCCAATAGGGAGTTTATCCTGAATTGGTTTGCGGAGGCCGTGGAGTCGGACACCTTTCAACCTTGGGAGGTAGCGGACACAGATTCTACGGGTGATGATACCGATTCCGACCATGCCACTCTTCATGAAACATCGCGCTTCGTTGCCTTCCAGCAAGGTGTTTCTATGGATCCAAAGGAGGCGGCATCACCACCACCATTCCCTCGCAGCACCTTCAAAACCAGACTACGCACCAGCTCAACACTCCAATCGTTGCAAGACAAAAAATCCGACCGCCGGAAGCCCTATTCCTCCACGTCACCGGCATTTAGTGAAGAAGCGTCACGAAAAACTTCCCTCCTCGCCTCCGTCAAAAGCCGCAACATTTCCGCTGTGCGCAAATTCCTCAAGACGAGCCCCGGCCATCTTACCCCGGAGACGTATATCATAACCCTTCAAACCGCCATCTCGCTCGGCGACCACGCTATTCTCGAGCTCCTCCTTACCTCTCGCCCACCCAGCTACCCACTTCCCCTTGACAACAAAATATACATCAACAGCCTCCTCGCCACCTCCTTCGACGGAAAATTCTCCATCTCCACCTCACAAATCACCCAGAAAACAAAACATCCTTCCAATCCTACTTCCCCCTCGTCCTTAAAGCAGCCGCCATCCGCGGCCGCACCCACATCATCATATCCCTCCTGTCCCACTACTACGACCGCCTTAACCACCCTTCCTCCCCTGCCCACACACACCATCTCATTCCCGCTCTCCGCACCGCAGCAACACAAGGCCATACGGACATCGTCCGCCATCTCCTCGCTCGCGGTGTAGACCCAAACCGCGCCAAGCGCTTCTTCTTCGACAACCCGCTCTAGGCTGCAAGTTTCAAGGGGCATACGGAAATCGTTGGCTTGCTGCTCAGGCATAACGCGGACCCTAATGCGCGCGGGTATCAATTTGGCAGTGCGCTGCAGGCGGCAGCGTTGCAGGGGCACGCGGAGATTGTAAGGTTGTTGGTTGATGGGGGCGCTGATGTGGGCTTGGAAGGGGGCAAGTATGGGACGGCGTTGAAGGCGGCGAGGCACAGGGGACATGAAGAAGTTGTTAGAGTTTTGGTGGAGGGTGTGAAGACGGTTGATGAGGATGGGTCGGCGAGGAGAGGGTAGTTGGAGGTACTTGGGTTATGGGGCGACCACTGACGGTGTGCTGTGATGCGGTAGGGGCAGCTCAGGGGCTTGTGTGTGTGTCTCTTCCGGTATCCTTTTTTGTTGATTTTGGTAGTCATATTCCCATTCATTTTTCCAAAAAAAAAAAAAAAAAAAAAAAAAAAAAAAAAAAAAAAAATTTAAGGTGGGGGGACGCTGGCCTTTCTCACCCCCTTAGTTAAATATATTTTAATATATAATACCTGTTCTGGACATTGCTTGAAACGTCTTGTGCTCGTATATGAGCCTAATGACTATTTCGTACATACTCAGAAGAACCAGAATATCTTGAGATTGGATGTGAATCAACTTGACTAACATGTATGTGATCAATCGACGTGGGGTCCTTAACTACAGGATAACGCCTATGGCTCTATTAACTATATGAATACCGCAGGTTTCCTTCGTCTGCAGCACAGTCAAACTACAATTCTCAAAGGAAAATGCTATCTGCGAATATCCTTTTCGTAAGTACGTATTTTTTCGCCCTCTCGGCCCCCGCTTCCTTTCTTCCGATTTCCCACGGATGAGCTAGCTAGCACGTACATATGTACTATGATCTAACAGAGAGTTGATTATCTGCATACAATTACACAAGAAGGAAATAAAGAAATGGGACGGAGGTGTGATGTGGCATTGAGCGTTTACAAGACACAAGTTGAAAATTGTGGGCAAGGTTGCTGGAAGAGAATATGCACAAATGGAAGAAAATATAAGTCAAGAACCAAGAAGGAAAGAAAAAGAAAAATGTCTGGAATTGGGCGTTGGCGTTGGTTTTTGAGCCGAGATCGAGTGGTTCACGTTGCTGGCTTGCTTCGTTTTTCGTTTCTTTGTTTTGTTTGTTATCGAAAATGGAACCCTGAGGAAGAGAAAAAGGAAGTATATTGTGGGTAGATTTTAAGGTCTCTCTAATGTAACAGGATGAAACGGGGGTAATTGACAATGGTCCATTAATGGCAGTGAGAATGGAAATGATTGCGGCAACATGATTCGCCTTTAGACAGTTAGACCGATTTCCGCGGCGAAGGGGAGGACATGCAAATCGCCAACTGCGGAGACGGAGGCTTTTCCAGAGAGGAGAGATTTGGCGGCCTGTTTTGATTTCCGTTATATCAGCTTGATTCAATAAATAACAAAAAGAAAGAAAGGGAATCCAAAATATAGAAGAGGTGGTGGAATTTAAGGGGGGGAGATGAACTGGGCTATACGTACCGCCTTCACTTGTTGTTCGGTGACCTTCTCGATACCCTGACCAACCTCAGTAAACTGAACAACATTGTTGCCATGAACCAATCTGGATCCGGCGAACTCGAGGCTCAGCGCGGCGATCTCCCCAGCCTCCAACGCACGGAACTTGGCGAGGGCGGTTGCCTTTTTGATCTCCTCACTGCTGACGTTGCCAGCCGCGAGGTCCTGGATTGCCTTGATAACGCTCTTGCTGGCAGCCGCGACACTCTGCGCCTTTCCGGAAACGGTGACGTAGAGGAGACCGGCATCGGAATATGTAGCGTTGTTGGTCGACACTGATACGTCGGAGAATGCTTCGGTGGCCTTTGCGAGGAGGGAGGATCCAGGAGACCATTTGATGGTGGACTGGCCTCCGAGGAGTGCAGAAATCACAGCGAGCTCTGGTTTGTAGCTGGTACCGCTGCCTGCAGCACTGGATCCGGGGAATGCAATCACAATGGCATTGCCGGCCTTGCTTGCAATTCGTTCCTCGCCTCCATAGTACTTCGTTGGTTCATATGCCCTAGGGCTGAATGGGCCAGTGGTGGTTGAGGCAGCTGGGACGTCACTGAAGATCTGGCCAACCAATTTAGACAAATCGGCACTGTTGGCGCCACTGGCAATGACGGCAATGGATGGTTTCGAGTATGCGCCCTCAGCAAATGCGGCAATTCCCTCTGCTTCAACATACTTTCCGAAGGATGAATTGGCGTACGGAACCAAATTCTCCCCAAGACCACGGTGGAAGGCGACGTTATGTGCGGAATCCAGTGCCTGGGCAGCTGGGTTCGATACGAGGTCGTTCTGGGAGTGTTTAACAAGGTTTAGGACGAGCTCATCGAGTTCATGTTCTGAATGGTAAGGTCTGTTGTTAGAGAACCACCAAGGCCAAGTTCATACCCATTGTCAGCGAGCACTACTCACGTGAGTATTTAGTTTTTGTTATTACATCCGCAAGGACTTCTAGGTAGTAAGGAAGATCAACGCTGAGGAATTTGGCAGAAAGGACGATGTTTTCTCTGGAGTGAGACGCAGACAATTCCCCACCAAGCAACTCAGACTCTCTGGTGATTCGCAGCGCTGACCGCTTGGTTGTAGACTAATAAATTGCAGTTAAATGCCATCAGCCATCTAGCCGTATATATTGCCAATGGGAGCCACGAAATTTGTGAAAACAATGCCAGATGGCTGGGCAGTCAACTCACTTTGAAAGCAAATTTCTCCAGGAGATCGGAATAACCGGGGAAAGGTTGGTATCGTGAGCCAGCCTTCGCAACGAGCGACAAAGTGGTGGTAGGTCCGGCAACCTCTCTATTAGCAAATTTCACACCAGCAGCTTCGCCAGACTCGAAATCGAATCCCTTGGCCGCCGCCGCCATGCCGCGGCGAGAGGAAGGTCGGGCGATACATTGTTTTCGGAGACAACGCGGCGCATTCCGGCCGAAAGCAGACCTCGAAAGCATGATCGCACGCACCTGGGGCAATAGGAGCGGAGTGGGAGAAAAGAGAACAGGGGAAATTGATAGCAATTGGCAGCAATTGGCGGTGGGAGAGAGAATTCACAGTGATCTCTGTTGCGTCTTCGGCGGTTTCATCGAGATATCGATGAGGTTCGAAAGCGGAAAGATGCTGATTAAGCCGAGGAGCGGATTACGCGATTGCTGATTGGCTGGGTTGACGAAGGCTTGGCATTCGGGAGCCGGGTTTCTCCGATATCATGTGACGGTAGACAAGGTTACGGGCTGTTGGCTCAAAGGGGAATAGCGCGGATATTTTTCTGCCGAGAACCATCGAGAGTCATGAAGAAAGCATGAGATATATCACGATATAAGTTATGAATACATGTAGTTTCTACCAATTCGTTTAGTCCCACGCTCGATTACCTCGTATCAGTCGCGTTTGCACACCCATGAATATTCAACGGTGACATTGGGGTCGCTTCTAGAGGAGCCGGCACTTTCTCTAGAAGGAAGACAGGGCGGCATACATCATGTCTCAAGTGAGCTTTTAAATCTTGCCACCGCTTGTTGATATATCATTTGTAAATATGCTGATATTGGATTGTTAGTATGCGGCGGAGCTTTGCAAGCTGTTGATTACGGACAATTTCGGGGAGCTATATTCTGTATGTTATCTTTTTGCCTGGCCAACAGGCAAGAGTTGATAGATAGTGGGGGATCTAACGTTCTTTTTTTTTTTTTTTTTTTTTTCCTTCTGCGCTTAGTTGATATTTTCCTATCTGCTATACCATGACCGCCAACCTCTGCCTCGCATTGTCCAAAATACCCGTCTGTCCCCTCGACAAGTTAGACACGGCCTAGCTGTGCTAATCCAACAACATCTCATCTACCACTACACCTCTTTGGACGACGGTATCACATACTACGAAGCTAGCTGGAGGACAGCATACAATCTGGTACGGTCGGGCAGGATTTTACAATTTGTGGAAAAAAAGCTCGGGGAATATGCTGGAAAGGTGCTGGCGACAATCTTGTATCTCGGCCACGCAAGAATCAGCTATTTGGAGACCCTACCAGAGCTACGCCCTCAAGCCACAAGTAAAGCCCGAAAAGGCGCAACAAACGGGTTGAATGGGGTTCATGATGATGCGGAAGAAGAGGAGGAGGACATTGATGCAGACCTAGAGGGGAAAGAGGAAGGTGCATCGGGAGGGGTAGAAGGGGCACTGAAAAATGGCATTAATGGCGACCACGACGAGCCAACCGCCTCGAAACTTCACACTACATTGCGCTCACTTGCTGCCTACGGATATATTATGCGAGTACGGGATGCCCATTTTCAAAGTCCCGCAGATCTCGTCGACGACGCTGAAAGAGCTATCAGCGCTCGATCAGATGTCCGCGGTTTAAAAGGCAAAAAGCTCCAGGAGGCAATCGATGCTGGAGTGGAGACGTATATTAAAGAGAAGACGGATGGAACTATACCTCAAGACCCACTGGGAGACGGGCTACCCCGCGGCATCAAGAGGCGTGCAGGACAATCGACGACGACCTCGTCGCACAAGAGGGTAAAGCTTGAACATGCGTCGGAGGGCGAGGAAGATGCGGATGATGATGATTTTTATGGTGATGACTATGTGGATGGTGACACCGCCCCAATGGACGTGAGTTATGTCTCTCTGCTTGGGTTATATATATCTGACATCTAGTGCTAACATAGCGCAGCCCAACTTGATCGTCCGTGTCAACTATCAAAAGGTCGAGGTGGCATTACGAAATCGACGATTAACAAGACTGGCTGAGCAGCATACCTCTAGTGTGACGTCTCAAGTCTACGAGACCCTCCTCGATAGGATTGAGCTTAAAACGCCCGCATGCCGGAAAACTTTGGAGCGTGCTCCGGAGGGGGAGGAAGGGGAGCAGTATTCCGTTGCTATCCCGTTGCATACCATTTTGAATGACCTAGACCCCGATCTAGACCTTTCGGGTTCCATGGCTGGAGCGGATCCGAAGAACCCTCTTTCAAACGGACACGTGGGCCTCAATGGAGACGGAGATGACGATGACGACGACGAAGCTGATGGCGAGGCTGTGGGGACAGGCAGCCGGAATCGCGTCAAAAACCGCGTATATGAACTAGAGCAACACCTCTCCCTCCTTGCCCAGGAGCCCATCATCTTCTCAACCCGCAGCATGCAGACAGGCATGATAACCTGGGCCGTCGAATTCCGCCACCTCGCCCGCCGCCTCCGCCACCTCGAACTTGAACGAATCATCGAATCTCGCTTCGGCACCATCGCCGTCCGCGTCATCCGCGTCCTCGCCGCAAAGGGCAAACTGGACGAGAAACGACTGCAGGAGATCAGTCTGATGGCATCCAAGGAGCTTCGCCAGGTTCTCGCGCGCATGGAGACGGCTGGTTTCGTGGACCTGCAGGAAGTACCCCGCGATGCGCAGCGGCAGCCGTCGCGGACAATGTATCTCTGGTTCTTCGATGCGGATCGCGTGGCGAGGATGGTGCTGGAAGATACATACAAGTGCATGTCGCGCTGTCTGCAGCGGATTGGCGTCGAGAGAAATAAATTAAAGTTCTTCTTGGAGAAGACTGAGCGCACGGATGTTAAAGGGAATGAGGAGAAGTATTTATCTCCGGCGGAGTTGAAGACGTTGAAGGAGTGGCGGGACAAGGAAGCTTTGTTACTGGGGGAGGTAAGGAGGTTGGATGAGTTGGTTGCTGTTCTGAGGGACTATTGACCTTTTATATATGGTCCCAATTTTGTTTCATTTGACTACACTGTCTCTGTTCTGGATTGCTTTTGTTTACTTTCAATGTATTTTCATTCCTTTTATTTTATTTTTGAAATTCTGTTTAATGATTTCCTCCACTTTTGAATATCTTCTTTTTCTTTGGTGCTCTGGAACACAAGTAAAGCGATGATTGGATCGAGCGCCATGTAAATGCAATTATTCTTCCTTTGGAGTTGGCAGCTGCAATCTATAGAATAAGTTACTACTTCCGAGGGCTATTATCATCGCCTGGCCATCGCTAGTCATGAGCTAGCGAGTTGAGGCGTTGCCAAGTTGCTGACTGTGAATGAAGCTGTTCTAATCTAGAAAGTCTCATGGAGGTAGAGCTCCAGATTACTGTGCAAATAGGGACAAACGGGCGGCATAATCTTTGGGCGAAGGAGGATGCTCTGGATAGCCCTGAGTCATTTAGTTCCGTAATTATTTGCTGGGGAGAAGGGTAGTTAAGGAAAATAGGGACGAAAAGTGTTCATAATTACCTCCCAGAGAGAGTGCCAAAGCGACATGATATTGAGATTTGAGGCTTGCTCTTGTCAATGGCAAAGGGTTTTTCGAGATTAATGACAAGTTTAGGCAATAAATCTTTATGAATGCAGCACACGCTTTCGGAAAGAAAGAAGAGAATGTAAGTAGTTATGCAGAACTTGATGTTTTGTCGGCACTATGACGGCATATTTTACCATAACGAGATGCCGCCTAAGACTAAACACATCGCAATCGTTATATTTGAGTAGCAAGATATCACGTTATGTTTGTCACAGTTGTCCTCCATGACAGAATAGGAATGGGGTAATATCTATAAGTACCATCATTTAATCATTTAATTGGCACATAACTATACTTAGCATTCAGCTTTAATGAAACAGACGGAAGGTAATCTTTAACAGCTTACATATCCCTAATCGCCCTATCCTCAGCCGACAGATTGAATATGTCTCAGATGGTATGGCTGGTGACAGGTTGCTCGTCACGCTTTGGGTACGAGTTCGTTCTGGAACTGTTAGCAAGGGGAGAGCGAGTAATCGCAACAGCTCGAAAAGTTCAAAAGTTAGCTACACTCGAGGAGGCTGGTGCAAAGATCTTGAGGTTGGATCTCGCAGATTCTGAGTTGCAAATTATGACTGCAGTTAAAGCTGCAATCGATATATACCGCACCATTGATGTTCTCGTCAACAACGCCGGATATCTGGAGGCTGGGGTATTTGAGGGTCTCAGGTACTCGAAAAGAGAAAAAACCCATGATCCGCCCCTTAGAGGCCTAGGATAAAAATTGATGACAAATTGTCTAGTGACGAGAAGTTTACGTGTCAGTTCAGGACGAATGTGTTCGGCACGTCGAACGTAACTAGATCCATCCTTCCTCATTTTAGGAGCAGAAGGGCTGGCACTATCGTGGTAATTGGGTCCGTCGCGGGATGGCAAGGAACATTGGGAGGCAGTGCATATAATAGCTCGAAGTCCGCTGTTGCAGGTATGCGTGTACCCATCTGTTAAAGAAGTCCTCGTGGCTAGTACTAAGCTATCACTTTAATGACAGGAATGTTTGAGGCTCTGCAACAAGAGACGGCCCACTTGGGTATCCGATCCCTTCTGGTCGAGCCAGGGCTGTTTCGCACACAGGTGTTTTCTCCCACGAATGTCTGTAAGAATGTCTGCCCGATTTCAGACTATACGACGGCCACCACAATGATGGACGAATTCCTCGCTGCCACAGCTGGGAACGAGCCGGGCGATCCACAGAAAGCGGTGAAGGTCATTATTGACGTTGTGACGAACAAAGGTGTTGGCAAAGATCGGGAGTTCCCAGCGCGTCTTCCTCTTGGGAGAGATGCGCTTGAAATCATTAGGAAAAAGTGTTCTGATACATTGGCGCTCCTTGATAGGTGGGAAGAGGTGGTGGTTTCCACTGATATTTCCATGTAGGGGAAGGTCTCCAATTAACTATGCTAGTCTTGTTAGCTATGGCCATTATCATAATCGTACGCTGTTTTTATTATGTTCGTCGACGTTCGTCGACGTTCGTCAATATGGATTGGAGGGCAGTTATAGGTTCAGACCCCACCATGTATTCTCAGCTTGCCAGAGGGTGGATAATGGCCAATTCAAATAGCAATGCCATGGGATCAACCGAAAATATCTTTCCCTTCTACTAAGTCACAGTTCAATATATCAATCATTTTCAGACGTGTATGACGGAAGAAAGTGGTGGAAGATGTAATTGCTGTTGGTGGTTTCAATAAGCTAAACATGCGCAAATCATAACTACCTAAAAATGGGTGCATCTGTTAACAGGCTATCTCCGCCTATGTAAGCTCAACCCAAAGCTCCATGTGTAAGAATGCATACCATCATATACGTGCATTTTCTTTTTGGCTTGGAGATGTTTTGTCCTGCTTGATGCCGTTGATGTTTGACTGACTGACATGAACATGGTTACACCCTATATATCGCTTACTAATCAAGGGGTGCCAGCGAACTTACATAATCAGGCCAATTTTTGCCGCGTTTGACTTCATCTTTCCTTTTTTTCTCTTTTGGTCTGTTCCTCACCACGGTTAATCATGGCATCCTCCGTCCATTATAGCCTCTCACGGCTCTTTATACATTCTTCGATTCTGGCGCCTGATAGACCCCACAGAGATGTGACCCTTTTCTATGATAGCCCCAAAGGCGGGGTGTTGTCCAGTTAATCCATCCATTTGTTTTGGCGCAGAGGCAGTGTTGCTACGTTGCCCCTGCGTTGCCCTGAACGCTCTCTCCAACCCCTCATTTCACCTCAGATATTGCTTCAGAAGCCTCGATTAGGAATTTCTCCCAAAACTTATAGAACCAAAAAACTAGAAACAAAGAAATGGAAAAAGTAACACTTCCTCGTTCTATTCCAATGGTGGACCATTTGCAATGACTGACCAAAAGACTGTGAGATAGACTACTAGAATGCCTCTTGATACATTTGCTACGGAGCTGTTGCTCCAAATATTCTACTCCTGCAATTCAATCGCAGATGTTCTGAATCTCTCCTTGACCTGTCGTCGCCTTCATGGTGTATTCTCTTCCTCGCAAAAGCTTCCCATACTTGCCAACGCCGTAGATGCCGAGTTCGGACCCCTGGAGGATATAATACAGTTAATCACTCAGAATGCTAGTCAGCCTGCTCATGTTTCCCGTGAGGCGCCGATATCCCTCTCTCTGATCCAGCAGGCTGTCGAAGTTGGCCGCGTGGCTAAGAAATGGGAGGAGATATATCCGATTAAGAAATGGAAGGTGGACTTTGAAAACCGCCGAGTCTTGAATGCGCAGGAACGCCTCGTGCTACGCCGAGCTGCGTACCGTCTTTGGCTGTACTCGAGGGCTTTCCACTGTCAACTATTTCCGCGAACCAGTCGCACGCTCCCGTCTATCGTCCATGAACGAGCCGAACTCTTGCATAACTGGTCTACGAGCGAGCTAGCTGAGATAGAGGATTTTCGATTAGTTATGCGTGAGGTCGTGCAGAACCAAATCTGCCCGAGCAATGAGACGATCCAGCGAAAGTTTCGTAAAAGGTTCCCGGAGAACACACGACG